AGTTTGTTATTTTGAAGTAGTTAGTTTACGAAGGCTACTATTAATTTTGATTTTTATATTGATAATAGTTTTATATATTTGAAGCCACATTTATTAGATATTGGTGACTCTTAAAATCTTGATATTTAAGATACATATTATATAAAATTCATTAAAAAGAAAACTTTAAAAATGATTTTTATTTGAAAAAGATTAACTAAATAAACCATATGGATGAATAGAGATTAATGATAAAAAATCTTCATTCCTATTAGCCAAAGGTCATGCCTAATGGGCTTTAAGGAAGCTACTAAAGGTCTTATTAGAAATTAGGCTTACTTTTTTAAGGAAATTTGAACATTTGAGGTTGAGATCATCAAGTTTAGGATTTTAGATATAGTTTTGGTAAATAATTTATAGAATTTAGAGTTTTTGTGAAGGGGATATAGGCACTCCAAGTCAAGATATTGATTTTGTATCTACTGTCACTTTTTGAGGCATTGCACATATATATGAAGGATTTTGAGGATTGAATTGTGTTGTTGAAAAGTTAATTTTAAAAACTACATTTTGCATGTAAAAAAAAAAAAAAAAAAAAAAAAAAATTAAAGAGAAACAAATATTTAAAAATTGTGCTCTATAGTAAATTTATAGTTTTTTATATGGTAAAGTCTAAGAATAAATGCTATATTATCTAGAAATTTAAAAATAATTAGATCGAAAAATATGAAATTCTAAATTTTGAGGAAAAAAATATTTTATAAGAAAAATATATTTTAAAAGGATTTTATTATAATTTGAGAATTTTATATAAAATATATGAATTTTTGGGAGCAAAGAATATATATATATATATATATATATATATATTAAAAATAGAGATATGAAGCTATGACAAAATTATGATATAAAGATGGACTTTTGAAAGGAGATTATGAATTATTTTTTAGATTATTGAAAATCCAACTTATCAACAAATGATTAGTTATGATTTGGTATAGCAAAGGATATTAGAGCATTTCTACATGCTCTAAGAAGCCTTATGTATAAACCTTCTTAAATAAAAAAAGATTTTTATTAATAGAATATCTTTTATAATTTTTATATTTATTTTTCTTATATATTAAGAATAAATCACTTATTAGAGCCTAGCCAATAAGTTAAAGCTAAATTCTCTATACTTAGGTACTCAGTGTATTTTTAGATAAAAGTTCATGCTATATGATAATAATATCAATAAGCGTACATAAGAACCACCAAAAATCTAGTTAATATGCTACAAAAGTTACAAAATTTTTATCAATACTATCTTCAAAAATCTAAAGCTATTTTAAAATGTCTTTTCTATGAAGCTAGTATTAGCATGTTATATATAATAAAGAAAGTAGATATAAAATGAATGCTCCTCGTGGAACTCAAAGTCAGAAGGAAAGATGATGTTATAGACATCTAATGAGGAGATTGTTGGAATAGTTTTAGAATATTCTATTAGTTTCTAAAAGATTTATAAGATTTTAGAAAGATTTTTAGAATTTTTTTAAAGTTTTTATATATTTTTAAAAATATTTGAATAGATTCTAAAAAAAATTAAGAGGGTTAAAAGAGTTGTTTGAGAAGCTTCATAGTGTTGCTTCATCTTCAAGCAATATGGGAACTTCTTGAAAAGCTTTCTCATACCTAGTATATATTGGAGTTAAGGTTGAGCAGATCTTTAGTCTTGGCAACATATCTCTTGGAGCTCTAATTCACCTCTCTTAGTATTGATCTTATTCTCATCTAATTTAATCAAGTTCTTGTTAGCTTTCTTGTAGAAATTCTTATATTCAACTTCTTGTTTGGTCTCTCGTATACTGTATCTATAGCAACATTAATTCTAAATTATTTTTACTAACTCCTTAACTTTCATCTATGCTTTTAAAATAATTTGCTACTATAAACTCTTTAATAATGTAATCCTTTCTTTTATCTTTTATCCAATTGTGGTATTATAATATAACAATGTCTATATTATTAACTAGATATTTAATTAAAAAATAATAAAAAAATACACCATTTACTTCAATTCTATCTGAATTTTTATTACAATTTAGCTTTGTATTAAGATTATAAAAATATATCTCTATTCATGAGAATATTTTTAAATACTAAGTTGTATAACCACATAGCTTGTATTTTTTAATTTTTATGATATCAAATTTAAATTTAATTCTTTTACATATTTTTTAAAATTATAGATTTTTTGTAAATTTTAAAAAATAAATTTTTATATAAATAAAAATAAATATATATATTTTTATTTTTTTACAAATTTTTTTTTATTATATATTTTAAATAAGTTTATATAATTTTTTTATGGTATAGACCACACTACTTATATTCTACTTAAATTAGGTATTTATAGTAGAGATATTTCTTAAAATATTCTAAATTTGTACTTATTATGATAAAATTAATTATATTATTTAAATAAAAAATAAATAAAAGATAAATTTATCAAATCTAATTTATACTTAATATATTTTATAAGATTTGGATTCATTCTAATGTCTACTTGGTTAACTATACTATTTGGTTAAATTATACATATATATATTAGTATTAGATTCCTTTAAGATGAATATTAGGTACTAATTTTTATATTTAAAAGGTAATTTTAGCTTAATTTCTTTAATTTTTTATCAAAATATTTAGCCTAATTACTATTTTTATATGATACTATCTATTAAAAATCAAAGGTAGAATTTTAAACAAGGCTCTTAGTTATATAAAAAATAGTTATTAAACAATCAATTTTTTTAGTTTAATACCTCTTAGGAACTTAATTTATTAAAGTTGAATTAGTTTTTGTTACATAGATTTTGAATTTCTATTCATATTTTAATTTTAAGATTTGATATAAGTTATATCTGATAGATTTATTTACTATTTTTATAAGTCTTAAAATGTTTCTAATGTAAGCGGCTATTTGAAAGAAAATATAAAAGAATTTATTAAAGAAATCTCAAAGATTAATTTATTTTAAAAACAATCAGCAATGTTTGAATTTTTTAAGGCTTTTGGATCAAAATGAGTATCCTGCATTTGAAATGTGTACATTCTAGCTATGCTTTGATATAGAAAAAAAAATGAACATCTTTTCTTATAAAATCCTTAAAATTTTAGCTTTAATTAAAAATAAAAATATTGATATATGTTTCTAGAAAGAAGGTGCAATATATTGCCATTGCTAATTGATTGATCTATTGTTCTAATTGTGCTTTAGTTTTCCTACTACAAAATATGCAATCACTATATATTTTGTTGAATAATTTATTATTCATTTACAACATAATTATCAACTTTAATAATAGAAATAAAACACATACTAAGAATATAGAGTAGCTCCATGCATATTTTATATAAAGTAACTTTCTAATAATAGCCTGTATGAAAAGTAGTTTATATTCCTTGTAGTTGAACTCAATTCCTATTACTTATTCTTCCAATTGCTTCAGTCATACCAAAGTTGGTTTATTTCAATGAGCTGCTCCTTTAGATAATGGTAGAGCTTTTATATATATCCATCACAAACCACTACTATATATGTCACCATTCCTTAATCCTAATGATAAAATCTGAACAAATGTATTTGATTAAAAAATCTTTGCTTGTTAAATCTTAAAACTGTCACTCTGATCATGTCTGAAACCTATCATCTATTCACTCATCACCAAATTCTTGTGATTGGCACAACAAAACCACAATTATGCACTACCCAGGCTGTAACAAATGCAAAGTTTCACAGTGGCCTTATACACGACAATTTAATGTTAACTTTAATGCTTCTTCACAACTAATGTTAACTATGTTCAAACTAATCAACAATGGCTAATGCATTTTTTGGTAAGCTGCATGGCTACTTTGAGGGGGTTGCATTTGTACTTGGAATGTCACATGATGTAATTGTTGGTTTATGTGCTCTCAAAATAATTGATGTTATAAGCATTTAGGGTTAGTATTTTTGAAAAATCAAAAAACAGAATTGTCGAGTTAAAATCCATCAATGTCAAGTAGTTATTATGCAGATTACATTGTAAAATTAATATCATACTTGTAGCACAGCACTGACCCACTTGATCAATGAGTTGAGTGTGATTTCATCTGGCCACAACTTGATCAACAGGTTGAGTGTGTAGTTTTATTAGGACACAACTTGATCAAGAAGTTGAGTGTGTAACTTCATTAAGTCACTACTTGATCAACTTAAGTTTATAATTTCATGAGGCCACAACTCGATTCAGAAGTCTTGAAATGTACACAATACTACCTAAATGGCACTATTTTAGTTGTTTGTGTGATTTTTGATAAGTTGCACACATATCTGAACAGATTTGTTCACACATATTTATTTATGTAAAGAAGATGGATGCTTTATCAAGTTTTTTGAAACAAGCTTGAAAAATGATCTATTAACATACTGAGATATTAAAAGTATTTATTTTAAAGGATTTGTGCACTGGATAAAAGGTTTTTGGCTTGTTAAGTTCAATTTAATTTCAAATTCATTCGTGACGGTATTTAAACTTAAATAAAAGGTGTCTCAAAGGAATTGTAACCAAGGAAAATCAGAGTAGCCAACGAGGGCGAGAAGGGACATCTGAGTGGGAACACGAATACGAACACAAACATATGTATGCCTTCGTCCAAATAGCGGTGGAAGAAGCAAAAGCTATGGGTGTACGTAGGACGAAGAGGAAAGGGATGCGGCACGTCTGCACGAGGCAACCAGCAGCAGCAAAAACACACACAATCACTGTTCCTGAGGGCACTTGCACACGTGTGCGAAAGTCATGTAGAGATATGAACCATTCAGCAGCAACCATTCAGTCAACGCTCTTTCTCTCCACACCATTCATGAGCACTAAAATGATGTTCCGAAACCATTTTGATTGGAGGATGGGATATGGTGTGGCTCCCCCACTATGCCAAATCTTGCAGGACCTGTACCTATTTTGCAGTGGGCTACACCATTTTGATGATTGGAGTGTTTGAATTGGCCCGGTGGGAACGCTCTCTTGAGCCGCAATCGCGTGCTGGCAGGGAGGAAATTAAGTAAGGTGGCCGATGTTGTGAGACGCGTGCCACAGTAGGCCGACAGTACCACAACCGAGAGTCGTCCCGTCTGACTTCAACCTCTCATGGGGTACCGATATCCCTCTCTCATGGCAGGATTGCCGCAGATTTTCTCTTTTCCAAGCTCTCAATTTGGCCTGTTGTAGGTTTTAGTTGTGATCGCATCTTGCGCTTGTTTCAAAACTGGCTTGCCTTCCAGCAGGAATGCGCATACTGTGCAGCTTCTTCTTATCAGCTGCGGTTTTTATGGCGCTGTACCCCACCAGGTAGATACATTCTTCTATTAATTACTCATAACTTAGAATCCAGCACCGTGCAGCGTCTCTTGGGTTACAACTTCATCAGACTTGAAGTCAATACTTGAGCACCCCGGCCTTATCAAAAAAACAGAAGTCAACACTTGCGTTCTGCAATGAACGCGATGAATTACAACTCAAAGTCCGGTAATGTACTCCTTTACCCTATTTGCACCAGAGTGCAGAGATTCAGGTTGTTGAATGAGGTGACTTAACTTTTTGTAACTTTTCCGACAGTATCCAACAAATTCCATGCTTATCCTTCCACCCCGAGGGTTTTTTGCACTGTGCCCAAGAACAGGATAGTTAAAAACCACCCGAATCTCTGTCTAGCATCAATATCGCAAAATCATGAAGAGGACCAGTAATAACATGAACTTGATATTTTGTGTTTTTGGCAGAAGTTTAGGCATGTCTGCTGGACCGATTAGGTCCAGACTGCTGGTATTCTCGGTCTATGATATCATCTGGAGCCGAAGAGTAAAGCAGAAATCAGAAATTGTGACACAACGAACTGCCAGATGTTGAGCAAACCACACCTTTGTTGATTTAAGGTTGGGAGCCGATGATGGCATGCTGAGAAACCTTCCAAGAGACTGCCTGCTAAAGCTGTTTTGTTAGCGGTCGGCACCTTGGGGATCAGGTTGGCCGTGGGTGTAAGAACTGTGGCTATCCCTCCAACTGTTGGAGGTGCCCCGGTGGCGCTCGACACAGTAATATGGATGGCACGAGCGTCACTCTTCTCCACGGATCTCTGTCCAGGTTTCACTGCTGCTGCCTGTAAAGCCTGAAACAGTCGATTATGTGAAAAATCATTCTATGAATCCAACCAAGACTTCGAGGAATTCAAAGTGATGAGTTCACGGAAGCAAGTTTGACTGACATCTTCTCCTGCAACATCATCTTGAGCTACAAGGAAGACATCGGCAGATGTGGATGTGATGTTGGCGGTTAATATGCCGGTTAGCTCGCAATGTTAAAATGAGTCTGTGCACCTGAGAAGATCGATCGACCCTGGATCGCTTCCGAAGTTCCCTCCATCTTCAACGATGCTTCCAAAAGTAACGGGCTTCTACCAGGAACCAGCATCCATTTTTATCTTGGTGATCTGCTCCCGTTACGCCGCACTTTCCAAACCACTTGAACAGAAACACTGCACATGAATCTATGTATCCCAAATTCTGTGTCACAGCCTAAGGACAGATGCCTATGAGGCTGGGGAATTGCAGGTTATTTGTGGATTTCTACCGCAAACTGTGAATAGGTCTGTCGAAGATTGATGCAACCCAATGCATTTTGTTCCTTAGTGTGAGCCTTAAAGGGAATTGAATTGGATATGCCCACATTCTCTAAATTCCAAAGGTGCCACTTGCCATTTTGAGAAGATCTATAGTCTCGTATCATTCTTCATCCTCTGCTTGGCCACAGCTGATTATATATCTCCTGATGTGCTCAGTTTGTTTTACATTCTTTTTAGAATAGATTAGACGATCAAAGCACCAAAAAAAAACATGAGTTTTTATACACCTACAAATGGCTGAAATTTAATAGTTTCTTAAATATTATAGCAAAGCAATCTAAATAGGATGATCAAATTAAAATTTAGGATGACCATTCAATCTTAAAACAGTTGCACAATTCATTCTAAAAAAAAAAACTGTATTTCTTACTATTCTCAATATACTATTGAAAATGTAATTTTATTAAATAGTATTGTAAGAATTGTAACACAAGTTGGAACTTATCTAATACATAATCAAAGTTTGACTAAGTGTCAATCTTCCCTCTTTTAGCACATTCATATTAACAATATTGGATGAATGTTGTTTTACAACACGGCATTAGAGTGTAAATGAACAACCTCTGTAGATGAACAATAGCTAAATGAATAATAACCATGGATGAAGAATAGCCATGAAGTTTGGCAATCATGCCAACTATTGTCATTTTATCAACTATTGTTCTTGGTGCCAATCATTATTGTTGCTATTAAAAAAAATTGTTGTTAAGATTTCTACTTTATAATAATTTGATATTGTCATTTTTGCTATTATTACTAATATAATATGTATTTATATTTTTATATTATTGCTTTAAAGTTTGTTATTCTTAAAGAATCTTATTGTTTGTTATCATTGGATTTGTTGTCTTGACAATGGCATTATCTTTGACCAACCATAGCATTGATTGGTTAGATGAAAAGAACTATGGTACATAGACATTTGTAATGAAATATTTTATAAGATTATTATTAAAATCTTTTTAATAAAAAAATCCCACAATCTTTGATATATTGATAGAGAACTTATAGAGAATTTTCTTTGCAAAATCTTTGACCTTAAAGTTTGGTGGTAAAATAAGTAAATAATATATTTGTTTATTTGTGCTTACTACATTACCAAAGTCATGAAATCTACTTGTTCAATCAATTGCATTGAAGAAACAAGAAGAGATTATAAAAAACATTATGTGGTCTATACTACTTAAAAAGATGTAGAAAAAAGAAAAGAGTAGCTTTCTATTTTTGTATTAATAGTATATGTATGCAGGAAAGAAGCAATATCTATAATAGAAGCATAAATCAAAGATTGATAAGTCCAAAAGCCAATGTAGGGCTTGCAAATAGAATAGACATTTGTTGGTCATGTAGAGCGTTTTAGAACAAATGACAATGGCACAATTAGTACTAATATTTCTATTGTTTTCTCAATTCAAGAAGCATCATATAAGTTAAAAGCAACAATTATATCGTTCTTTCAATCATGCCATTATATTTGCATTAATAATATAGTAGATATACACATCCTAAGAAATAGAAATAAGCTTCTTAACTTTAATGATAATACAACCATTTAAGTTGAAGACTATGATAGTAGTATCAACAAATCATAAAGTTTAGGTGAGATATATCTCACATTTTTTATACCTTAAAGAAAAATTCATTCATATGGTTATAAAAAATGTATATTAAATTCTTAGGATATGTAATATACTCTTATTAATTACAACCTTGAACAAAAAAGGTTGTAAGTTTAACTTAGAAGATAATAGAGTTGATTGAATCGTTTTTTTGGATGACTTACTTATGCAAGGCATGCTCAACAATAAAGCTTATCTTCTACATTGTGAAATTAAAGAAGTTGATGTATTTTTTAGTTTATCTATCTTAAGTTGTATGTTTATTGAATGGAATCAACCATTAGCACATGCTTTGATGCATATAATATAAGAAGCAAAGAAAATGAATAGTATTTAAGAATTAATGATCAAAGGTGAGAAGGATAAGGTACTAACATGTAAATTGTACATTGTTGGTAAGGCCTATAGGCAATCTTTTTTAGACAAGCACAAGCATGCTAATAGTATTCTAGATATGGTAGTATGTAATCTTAGTTAATCTGATACAATTAGTTTTAGTGGTGCCAAATGGTTAGTTGTATAGATTGACAAATATTTTGATTATTGTAGCCTAGTATTTCTTCAAACTAAAGATTAAGTGCATATTCCTTATAAGACTTAGGATATAAAGACACAAAAGAGAATTAAAAGAAAAATAAAATTTTATTACTAATTTAGGTACTAAATTCTTAAATTATAAGCTTATTTTATAATTCAAGACTTAAGGCATTTGACATATAATTATTCATGTATAAATACATAAGATTTTTGGCATGTCAAAGAATATACACAAAAGTATATTTAAAGGAATACAAACACTCTTAGATAATATTAAGTTGGATTGTTAATATTGGATTTTTGCTACAAAGTTTGTAACATGGACTTATAATTGCCTTCTACTTATAAGATTTAATAGTAAGATACCACATGAAGTTTTAAATGGTAAAAAAAAACCTTTTTTTTAATATACTTATTAATTTGGTTCTGTTGATTGGTATTATATATCAAAAGAAAGGCATTGAAAGTTGATTCAAAAGCAAAGAAGGATATTTTTGTTGAATATTCAAATGTAGCAAAAAGATACAAGAATTTCCTTTTTGAGGACAAGAAGATGATTTTCAGTCAAGATGTGATTTTTTTTTATGATAAGGATAATTTTTTTAGTGAGTTATTAATTTTCTAAGAAAGAAAGAGAAGAAATGGTGATTATAAAAATAAGCATAATTTGCTTGGTGTACAATATCTAGATAGATTAGAAACATCCAAATCTCAAGTTTCTAGATTATATATACTTGATAGATCTAGTATAGAAATGATTGGTGATGATGTAAACTTCATATCAACAAAAGTAGTAGAATTCCATCACCTTAAAGTGAAGGCAATTATTCAAGCTCTACCATTAAGACATTGCTACATTGGTGAAATTGACTTGACAAACATCACAAGTGGCAATAAGATGAGTTACATGTCTTTGAAAAATAACAATAATTACTTTTGAAAAGATTATGATTTGCCAATTAAAATAATAAATATTGTTGATGCTAATGAACATACAAAACTAGAACTATTGAATAAGTCATAAATTCATCTTTTAGCATAGAATAGAATCATGCCATAGGAGAAGAACTTGATTCTTTAAAAGCTCAAAATACATGAGTTTTTATCTTTACTATATGCCAAGAAGGCTATGGATTTGAAATAGACTTTTAAAGAAAAACTTGCCAGCAATGGTTCTATCAAGTATTTCAAAGCTTGGTTAGTTGCAAAGGATTTTATTCAAGTGAAGGAATTTAATTACTAAAGAGACTTTTATACCAATTATTCATTATTGTATAATATAAAGACTTGCTTGAAAATGCACCAAGTACTTAGTTATAGAAGATAAATTAGAAATTGCAACAACAAAGTTCTATTAATTTTAATATAATACTAAATAAACCTCAATTAAAGCTTAAAAATCCTAATCAAACCTTGATAAAATCCAATTGAAATTTTAGAGAAATTATAAATAAAATAAAATAAAATAAAAAATCCTAAAATAATTCTAAAAAAATCATAAAGAATTTTATAAAAAATTATAAAGAAATAATAAAGAAATTCCAAAAAGTATAAAAAAATCGAAAATTTAAAGAAAAAACTAAAAATAAAACCTTATATAAATCCTAATTAAATATTTAAAAAATCCTAATATGATTCTAAAAACATTCTAATAAAATACTAAAATAAATCTTTAAATAATTTTTAATTTAATTCTAATCAAATCTTAAATAAAATCTTAATAAAAACCTAATAAAATCCTAAATCCTAAAAAAATACTAATAAAATTCTAAATCATAAATCAAATCCAAATTAAATTCTTATTAAATCTTAAAACTTAAATAAATTTTTAATTAATCCTAAAATAATTTGAAAACTCAATAATTAATAATTTAATCATAATTTTTACTCAAAATTTGCACACTTTTTAATTGTTAAGTTGAAAACAAATACAAATAATTTGAAAAAGATCAAACTTACTACATAGAAGATAGTCTTCATAATCCACTCCAATGATGGCTAGTTTTCTTCTTCAATATTGATTTTAATATTTTAATGCCAATATCTATTGATTTTATGGTTCAATGGATTTCAAACTTTACACAATTGTTGAAAATCAAGTCTATTACAAGTATTAAAAATATATATTTAATCCAACCAAAAAAAATTGTAAATCTTAAGAATCCTGACTAATTTTCTAACTCCAATTTTTGAGATCCTTATACTTTTAAAATTTAATAAATTTTAAATAAATTATTCGATTAAGCTTAAACTTACAACAAAAAATTTAAATAATAATTTTCACTCAATCACAAAATTTCACTGATAAATCCACCACCAATCTCACAAAAAAATTCTAAGTAAAAATTCTTTATATTTTTTAAAAATCCAAAGTCCCTCCAAAACAACCTTAAGTTTGCAAAGCCTTTACAAAGTCATTACAAACTCAAATCATTCAAATTCAATGCCCAAAGAAGATCTTTTTAGTTTGCTCTCAATTCTTGCTTTTCAATCAACCAAAGATCTTTAGAATTGCTACAAATATACAGTTATGTATCTTGAGATTTAATGTTAATTCTAGTTCACAACCAATCTTCTCTAGGTATTAGTTCTTGATTTCTTAAGGTAATTTTTGCAACAAATTATTCTTAATTTCTTTTTAAAGATGCTCATTTTTTTTAATATACTTTATTTTGCCTTATTTATGATTATATAAAGTAAGTAGAAACTATTTTTATAAAAAAAATAGCATTAATACTATAAGTTTTACTACCTCTCTATCTTTTACCTATATTTCATTATTATATCTTTCAATTAGGCTCTTCTACAATAAAATCCATATTTTATTTCTTTTACTATATAGTTGTATTACAACACAACACCATCTTGCAATAATTTTCATATTTTTTATAATTTTTTCTATTTTTTTAAATTTAATTAATCAATAAATTTTTTGAAAAAAAAATCTACATAAAGATTTCAAAAGGACTTTAAGTTTTGCTTAAACATAAATGCAAGGTGTTGCAATTAGTAAAGACCTTATATAAGTTGAAGATATTTGGATGTATGTGGAATAAGAATTTAGATACATCTTTATTGAATCTTAGTTAGAAGTGGTAAAAGTCAAACCTTTATTTTTACATTGAAAGATTAGTTCTTTTACTTGTTATCTATATTAATGATATAATAATTGGTGGGAAGAACTTTGAGATTCTTGTAAATTGAAAGAATATATTGTAAGAGTGCTATAAGATGAAAGACCTTAGTGAACTTGGTTATTTTATTTGCATTGATTTCTTGCAAAAAAAGAAAAATAGTACTATTTATTTGAATCAAATTAAATACATTCATTAAAAGTTGTAGGAATTTGGGATAAAAGACATAAAAATTCTTGCAATATTAATAATACAAGGTCATCTTACTAGGCATGAGAATGACAAATCTTTGCATGTAGAAGGTATATAGCTTTATTACAAATTTTTATCAAAATGCTTTAGATTTACTATTGTACTTTATAAATAGTACAAGAAAAAGCATTGTATTTATTTATCAATATTTTGTTCAATACATGGCATATTTACATATTTTGTGTTGGTAAGAGATTACGCAAATATTTTATTACTTGCAATAGATAAAAGCTTTGATATTGTAATATGAAGGTAAAAAAGCAAGATTGTAACTTTTGGACTATAGTGATGTACATGGAGCAGGTTGTGCAGAAACATGTCATTTTATGGATAGTTATACATTCATATTAGATGGCACAACTATCACTTGGTCAAGCAAGAAGCAATCATTAATTTCTATTTTGTCAACAAAGTCAAACTATGTAGCTTTGGCTGCTGTAACAAGAGAGCTTTTATAGCTTTATAAAGTACTAAGGAATTAGGATTTTTTTAAGCCAATAAAGATCTTCATTTATAATTATAATTAGAATGCTATTACTATTATCAAGAATCTAATATACCATAGTTGTATAAAGCATTGAAACATGGAACATTATTTTATTAAGTAAGACATAAAGAAAAGACAAATTGGTTTAATATATTGTCCTATAGTGCATTAGTGGTAGATTTCTTTAAAAAACCTCTTTCTAGAGATTAAACATATCTAGTATTAGGCCTTCTTTTAATAGAGATCTAAGTCTTAATTAGAAAGAAGAATGTTAAATATTATTATAATAATTATACTACAAGTTGAGACTTTTCTAGTATATGATCAAAGTTCAATAAAGTACTACTCTTCTCTCTTTTGGTACATTTGTATTTGCAACATTGGATGAATGACATTTAGTAACAAATGCTTTGTTGCTTGAAATGCAAAATAGTTATTCAAAGTCTATTATAAGTATTGATATTTCAACTTATAATTATTTTTAACTATTATATAATCAATACTAATTATAAATAATAATAATAATAATAATAATAATAAACAATCTTATTGTATATCTATTAGAAAGAACTTACAAATTGATAGCATAAAATTTGTTGATAATATATGACAAACCAATTATATAAACTTAAATATGATATTTATCATATCATTTTGAATATTTTTGTATATTCATATTTATTATACCATTTTGAAAACTACAGAGTGAAAATGTATTTGTATATTTTAATTTTGCTGAGGCCGAACAAACTTGGCTTGTTTTTTATTTAGTTTTCTTCCTTTTTCGTTTTCAAGAAACTATTTTACAGGCTTGACGTTTAAGCACAATTGTTGTTAATCGCCTGTTAATCTGCAAGGTTAATGAGGTCCAAAGTGAGATGCACCGTGACAACTAGTGGCTGTGTCAATTGTTGGCACCGATTTGCAAGGCTCAGGTTCCAGTTATCGCATACTCCATATTCCGAGTTTTCATTAGCTTCGGGTTTGAGCAACAGTAGGATGAGAAGTATATTTGCGATTCAGCCGGTTCTTCACTATATATGCAAAGTGTACACACCATGAACTTCAGAAAATACCGGTAGGTATCTTATTGGCCAAGTTCCAAAAAAAATCGGTTTAAGGGAGAGCCAGACAAGCTATGGTTAATGGAAGAAACCCAATTGGAATGTAATCTAGATTAAAGTAACCTGCAAACTTGCAGAATACACAGGAGGTGGTGCTACTACTGGTACATGATGGGTTGCAATCGCACGAGATGCTCAGGGGTTCTAGCTGTCTCCAGTGTTTCGTACTCCTCAATTAAGTCGTCCATCATGTCTGAAAAATAGATTGTTTCGAACAGGGCAGAAAATTGAACACCTTGGAATTTCGTAGTACCTTAAGACTAGTCAGAAAATAGCTTGAGTTTGGAATACACAAATCTTACTAACTCAAATTTTATCTCCAAGTTGAAGCATCACCGGGTGACTTGAAAGAATTTCTGCAAACAATTTAAGCACGTGTAGAAGTAAAGTAAGAGATATATGCATAACAAGGAGGGTTCACTTACTACTGGCGGTGTCAAAAACGGAAACATCCATGTACTCAGTGTAGTGATGCACGTAAACTTTTCGTCTGTACAACTGCTTAAAGCTCTCCTTCATTCCAATAAACCGGCTCCTGGATTCCCCTAATGAGATAATGGTTAGTGACAAAGGTCTAACTCATGCATATTCTGACTTTGAAACGGCTAGACAATTCGTGGAATATGACTATCTGAGTTCCAGTCTCTCGAGTCTGAAGCAAAGTTGAAGTAAAATTTATTCGAGAGATCATGAATGAAGCAAGGGACAATGTAAAATATTTCTCCCATCAAAGGGGAATTATGGTTGTCGAAGGGAAAAGTCGTCCAGCGTATCTGACAACCTACCGTATGCAAGTGTTATTGGCCAAGCATAGAAGAGAGCAGGGACTGTGCACTGCAGCTTGATTGCATAATCCTACTTTGAAACCTTCCACGTTCCAATGAGCCTGGGAAGAAAACATAAGCAAGATAAGTGCATCCGGTCTAGATATGACAATTCATTGGTGACATAACACCAGGAATGTTCAAAGTACTGAGTCATTGTACCTTCGATGCCTATCAACAGGATTGGGTTATCTGTTGCAACGTCATGAACTCAACGTCAAAATGAAGGGCACAAGGATCTAAACGAACCATGGTGAGCCGACTCTTCATCCGAGCAACATTTTCTTGCAGATCAGAAATAGTGCAGGAGTTGCCTCGCATTAGCAGCGCACAAGCTAAGTAGGTCGAATCATTTGGATTCACTTTCATCAGTTGGGCCTCTCTCGCAAAAACGTCCGTGAAGAGCTGTAGTAACCAACTCTTAACCTAGTATAAAGCTTCCGTTTCATGTTCCAATCAACCAGAATTTTGCACAATTCTAACCTCTTCATAATAAGACGAAAATCCAGACTACACATTTATATCAGGTTGTTTCCTCAAATACCTGCTTTATTGCACGTTGCTGAGTTCCTTCTGTCACATCAAAAGGAGTAGTCCAATGAAAAAACATAAATCAGCTTGCATGCGTTAACTATTACTAAATACGATATTATTAAAAGCGACGAATGCCAAGGACCTCATCCAGCTTTTATCATATCAGAAGCAATCGTCTCGTCGTAATTGAGCCGTGGAAAGCGATAGTACCGCATACTGAAACAGCCAAATGCGGAGACATGCTTGAAGTAAGGTAATGGAGTCGAGGATATGGCACCAAATTCATGGTTATCTCGTTTAAATCAACTACACTTCAACCGATTGTAACATGTTAGATATTTAGCAAACTTGCTGGCAGAAAGCTGTGCATGAGAACGAAATTGGATGTGATAAGCAATATGTGAAGAATGTTCTAACCCCTGAATTTGCTGAATGAAATGCAATTGTGGGTCCATGATCCAAAAGCATGCGAGGAGACATACCGCTTTGGCTGCTCAATCAAATATCATCAGTTTTGAGAAAACGTCAGAATTACCATTTAAAGGTCCCTCGAAGCGCATAGAACTCGTCAAGTGGAGCAGGAGATTTGAGGCGATGCTATTCATTTCGTCAAATGGTTTTGTCACCTTCGGACTCCACCGTTCAGCTGCAGAATTTTGTTTTTTCTTTCCAATCGCATCATTTTTTCTGCATCATTTGGAGTAAAAATAGAGTTTAAAATTCAAATTACAAACCCTAAAATAAGCAATATTTATTTAGGTATACATTACAGACATGCCTGAGTCACTTGTTTAGTTTCTTAAGAGCTAGATATGAAAGGAATAATTTGGGAAACCTGATGATGTCTAGCAAGGCCTGGTTCTCGAGGGGGAGAACACAGTCAGCGTGCTCAGTGAGTGCCATGGTCGACAGAAGGCTGTGCACTACAATCGTTTAGATATCTTTCATACCCTACAAAAAAATATGATAGCAACCAAGTATGCACGATATAATTCTAAAGCACATCAACCGAGTGCTCATTGACCCCATACTTTGGTACTGCCCTCAGTAATTTCAGAGTCAGTCTCAATTCAATGGTAGCAAACTTTATTTTTGAAAATGAAACATTACACTGAACCAACTCTGCCACTCTGATCTACCTTCGAGATTAAGTTTCGTCTTAATATTCGTGCAAACAGGAAGAATTTTAGACAGCAATATGAGAGCAGAGCATTCTCTCCCTTGTGTCAGTTAAAATGGAACATAATAAGCCTAATCGCGTTTTGCTAGGGAAATAACCTGTTGTAAGGCGAAGTAATCACATCGTCATCGGCAGACGGAAATATGCTTTGCGTGAAGCGATAAACCTCTGGATAGGCATCCTTCGAACCGCTAAAAACAAAATGTCAACTTATCGCTCTCATAAGCAACTCTCAAATGTAGCCGTGTGTGTTCATTCGCTTCCAAACAAGATTAAGCGAGGTACCCTCACAATTGCCCATGAGTACAAGACTTGGTTTTGAGTAGTACTTTGTAGTTCTAGATATTCAGGAGCACTCACGTGGAGTGTTTCCAAAATGTAGCTCCCGACACCAGATCCGGTGCCGCCTCCGATTGAGTGCATCATCACAAATGTTTGGAGCGAGTCACAAAGTTCCGCCTGCAAGAGAAAATCCTCTAATTAAGCCCTGTGTTTTAGAAGTCTATTCATGATGATCTTCATCACCCTTGAGCAAATAATTTATCCATGTACTTGAATGTGGCTTTCCAACACTAAAGAAAGATTTTTGCATGTCCCTCCTAATTCAAACAACCAATAACAATAGAACCATAATTTCTCCTGACAACCGAATCGAGGTGGAAAATTGCTGAGAATGATGATAGTTCACATACCTCGCCTCTGACTTTCTCAAGGATAGCATCAGAAAATTGTGGTCCGTGCACTTCATGTGCTTGTGCCCTAACAAATCAAAAAGATTGTCAAGGTTCTAAAAGCTCACAAGCTTCTTCAAAAATTTGATCCTAATGGCGTCACCTGCATGAACTGTGTATTGAGAAATCAACAGTTAATAAAATTAAGGGATTTATATACCAGTTGTTCCCAGAGCCAGAAGCGCCTGTAATGTATTGTTTGCTGTCAAACAATTCTGCAAGGGATCCCTGGAAATGGAACAGAATCGATGAAAGTGGAAATGTGAGGATGCGAACGCTTTTTATCTTTAGTTTGTTTATGGGTAAGACTCGTTGGTTATAACTTGAATCTGGATTAATACACTTTCTGACCTTCAAATCCTATAACATGAAAGTGGTGTTTCTTTTCTACTCCGCCATCCCTCTTCTGGCATGTATTCATCCCTTGCATATTGCCACCCCATACATCAGAAACATTAAGACTTCATCCCGTTTGAGTACGCCAGGTGCTCAGCACTAATCGAACAAAACTTTCACCTTTTACTAAAGAATTTCGCGGGCTAAGAGAAAACACTAGCGTTATTCAATTTTTGGATTGCTCTTCAAGGAGTCCACCAAACAAGCAAAAGATGTCGAATGAGACATTCTCACATACGAGTGGCATTAGTTTATTTAATCACTTCAATACCTGTGTGAGTAACTGCATTTTAACCTACAAACAAAATGTGACATATTTTATACCTTCAGAAGCTGGTTGACGACCCCTTCTTCCATGTCTATAAGAACTGCCCTAGCCTGCACAGAGAATCATAAGTGTTGAATGAAACACTGCACAGCAACATTGAAATCAGGAGGTACATCTAACAATTTGAATCAAAATGGTCTGGTTGGGCTGCCTCACCTTCAAGAAGCGAATAGGAGTGTTTCCAGCGCCCACAGACAGCTCTTGAGGTGGCGTGTAACGTCTGTCGACGTTGTGAAAGAAGCTGTGGGCCACCACAGTGATGAGCAAGATAAAGATGCTTCAATCGATACATGAGGAGATCAACCAGTCACGACGCTCTAAAATGCCACAGGAATTAAGACCACAAATCTGGAAAAGACATCGCATACACGTACAGATTACCCCTAAAAAGTTGAATGATGTGCTCTATCAGTTGTAACAAGGGATTCTCATGGCTTTTTTGAAGTCGTGATCGCGGCAGAAGTTTTTCTTATATTCGTCACACCGAAACAACTACTGGACTCTCACCTGCTGAGGGCGTGATCGAACAGGGCATTCGGGTTACAAGAGGCATGCTCTCTTAATGCCATATCCCAAAATCGGCATCCTAACTGCACACAACTTGCACTTCCTTGTCAATCCACTCTGACGTCTCAAATTCAGTAACAGCCTCTTCCATTTATCAACTTTTTATACTGAGCTAACTTATACTCTTCTAACAATATCTCCGTTTCATAATGCAAACAAAATTCGAAATCAATTCTCAAGAACCAGCATCGTGGCCTTTTCGATCTTCATTGATAAATGTTCCCAGATACTAGTGAAACTGGCTTCAAGGCATTCGAGGTATCCGCAAAATAAGCTACCGAGATGCAAAGAGGCGACACATGCCTGATTCCCACACTGGCCTACTTGTAGCGTTATAATTTCACGCGGCATCTCCAGAGACAGCACACCAGCGGGTATGGATTCAGAGAGAGAGAGAGAGTAATGCACACAACGCCCGTAGCAAAAGTAGCAGGCGATGTAGGGTTGATGATGAGATGGACGGACTACTACTACTGCGGGCACTTCTTCCTTCCTGGTCGACTCCTGCACCTTCACCTCCCTTCCCCTTCACTTCGCTTCACCTCTGGCAGCAATGCATACATGCGTCCTGCTGTGGGAGCTTCAGCTGAACGCGCCAAGACTTCCCCCCCTTCCCCCGCCGCCCCTTTCTGTCCTCCATTGCCCAGGGCCGGGGCAGTTGCACAGCCCAGCGGTGCCACCATGGCTTGACATGGCATCAACATGTGTTGTATGCACAGTAGATTGATTGCGACCATTCATGATGCCCAGGCTATAATGCTCATTTACACTAATAAACATCCAAGTCAATGTACAAACTTTCAAAACTTGACCTGTTCATCTTTTCATTACAATTCCATTGATTATCAATAACGCCATGATATGTTTTTGATGACCTTGGGCATATTTAAGAACTTTTGTTGTAAACTTCAATTTTTTATATTTCTGCCTACGTATTGTGTAGCATGTTGTTTTAAAATATCAAATCATATCTTTATTCTTTAAGCACTTTATCTTTTATACAGATACATGAACATCACATATATTCCTTACACATTAAATAATGTATTTTTTTAAAAAAAATTCTAAGATGTTCAATAAAAAATATTAAGAAAAACTTATAAAAAAATAAAAGATTTTTTTTGTAATGATGGTTTGTGGAGATGATCCATTTTTCTAATGATGATTACAATAGGATGGGTTGATTTAATGAATGGGTGTATCATTTTAACATTTCCCTAAAAAAAAACTTTTATCTTAAAAAAATCTGGTGTGAAATTTTTAATATATATATATATATATATATCCAAAAATTATAGAATATCTTAAAAGTCTGAAAAATCATATATAGAGATTTTAAAAAGTGCTTGGAATTTTAAATGGTTACGAAAGATTACAAGTTTTTTTTTAAAAGACCATGTAAGGTTTGAAAATCTTGTAAAAACTTTAAAATTTTCCAAAAACTTCTAAGAATTCATGAAAAACAATAAAATTATCTTAAAATATTTTTAGAGATTCTTGAATGTGACTAAAGTCACAATTTATTATACGTGTACGACATATTGCAAAAGAGTATGAAAAAAATATATTTTAAATTTTTTCTGTAAATTTTCCTACAAGTTTTTTTTTTTTTTTTTTTTTTTTTTTATTAGGTGAAGAATCAACAATCAAAACAAATTTCTCAAGAATTATTATTTCCATTCTTATCAAATAAATCACTTAGGTGGTCACAACCTTCAACAATACAAAGCAAGAATTGAAGCAATGATCTTCCAAAATAACACAAACTTTTTTAGAAAGATAGAAAAACATAATGCATTTGATACTATGGTATTTAATAATGAAATACTGTGATTTCTGATGAAACAATGAATATGCCAGAGTGAGAAAGAACCATCTTGGTGTAAATCCAAATTAGCTCTAAGAGAAATGAGGAGGAAAGGATAAGGGAGGAGACTAAACCTGAAGCCAAAGCCCATGGTGGACCCCCCCCCCTCGTGCGAAACCCTAGGACCCAGCCCAGGCCAACCCCGCCCTCCTTGTCTTGCCCAATGCGTTGCTGCGATGGCTCACTTATCCATTGTTATTGTGCATCTGCGCCTTGTATCGTCTTGCTGCCATTCCCACTAACCACGGCAGCCATGGCTTCCCTGTCCATTGCCTCCTCCTCCTCCACCAAGCTTGTTTTGCCCGGCTCGCTCTCGCCCCCTTCCCCTCGCCTCTCCAATCGCGCTTGCTGTCTCGCTCCCTCTTATGCTTTGAAATTCAGTCCCCGGGCTTCTGTTTCGGGTGGCGCTGCGTTGCCATGGTCGCCTGAGACTGATGTTCGGTCCACTCAGAATTCATTGTGGACTCCCCTGGCGTCACAGACTGCTTCCCCTGGCATGCGGTCAGCTGAAGCAGATGTGATGGGACTCATGCTAAAGCAGCGCATTGTGTTTCTTGGTCACCAAATGGATGACTTCGTTGCTGATGCAATAGTCAGCCAGTTGCTTCTCTTGGATGCTGTCGACCCTAACAAGGAAATTCGTCTGTTTGTGAACTGTCCCGGAGGCTCTATCAGGTGACTAATGAAGGTCACTGAGAAATGTTTTTAGTAGCGGTGATTGGACGTTTAACTAGGGGGGTCATCGGTCTTGAGGTGGGCAACTGTTCAAGTATCAGTGAAGCTGAATTGCGCTTCTGAGCATTGTGTTTGGATTTTGCAGTGCTGCTATGGCTATCTTTGATGCCATTCAGCTGTGTAGAGCGGATGTTTCCACAATTTGCTTCGGTTTGGCTGCTTCAACAGCAGCAATAGTACTTGCCGGAGGTACGCCGGGGAAGCGATTGGCAATGCCTAATTCTCGTATTATGATGCATCAGCCCTTGGGAGGTGCTAGTGGACAGGCAATTGACGTCGAAATTCAAGCCAAAGAGGTTATGTACCACAAGAGCAATGTCACGCGTATTTTATCTGAGATTACAGGGCGGGCTCCTGAGCAGGTAGATACATTTTGTGACTTTCAATTAGGTTATACGCCTTAAGTTGTACGGATTTCTTAGCATTACTTAGGCTCTAGTATTGGTAATCACAGGAGGCTGCTGGTTCAGTTAGCCCGTGAATGGACAATCTTGCGTGGAAGAAGTAGACGAAGGTTGCTGCAGTCCCTTTGATTTTTGGTATAACGCCGAGCTTTTGGTTCGTGGTTTGTGATGCTGCAGGTAGAGAAGGACATTGATAGGGACCGGTACATGTCTCCTATCGAAGCAATGGAATATGGCATTATTGATGGCGTCATTGACAAGGATGCAATCATTTCTATTAATGGATTGCTTGAAGTATCTGATAGGGTTAAACCTCGCAAGGAGAACTTAGCTGCCTTGGAAGATCCTCGGAAGTTTTTAACTCCTGAGATTCCAGATGACGAAATTTATTAGCTTCTTTCAGACTATAAACATATTCAATCCATGTAGAATTTTTCTTCTGTCTTTGTCTATCAAATGCTTCCCCCTCATTTGCCGCACTCATCTGCATCTGGTTGTTACCCTTGTGTACACATGCCCACGGTGTCGAATTTGCAGTATCTGACGTTCTAGATTCTTGTGTACTCAGAAGTAAGCACCCTTGCGCAGTTGAAATTTTGTGTCCACGGCGCTAAAGCATCAAGTCCGAAGTTAGTGAAGAAGTGAGAAACACCGAATCTGACAGTGACTTTCGGATGCTCATTTTTCTGTTGGATACAACTATGCAAATCTTATTTTACAGATTTTGTATGTGATGGTTGATTGATCTAGTTACAGGCTGGTTTCGCAGTGCTACTTTACATGTTTATTTTTATTGATATTTACGAATCCCTCCGAGTGGAGAAACCTTGTATCGTATAATTTTTGCAAGTAAGTGAGTGCTAACATTTCTATAGCGGTTGATTTATATTCTGAAAAGCCTCCAAACTACGACCAAGAATTCAGAGGAACATGTGCTAGGTTACACATGATGAATGATTGTGGCACTGGAACTGGGGGTGTGGTGTTCAGGAGCTTGTAAGTGAAGAACTTGCTCAGCGTATCTAAATTCGCCCACGCTGAGCAAGGCTACGTGCATTTTGGGATGTATTCCAGATCTTGAGAATTACACATATCTCCCACGCCACGTAGCTTCGTTAAACTCTGAAACTCCGCATCACTGACTAGCTTTTTAGCAGGGATCATTCCAATTTTTATTTTTGTTCTGAAATTTTGTAGTAAAAAAATATTCAGGACAAAGACGTAGATTTCCTTACTTCCGAAACACTCCAACAGATCTACTCCAGTAAATAATGAGAGGATGAAGTGTGTGGATGTTTAGGTTTTAATGTCATTTAAATTTTAAAGAAATGTACGTTACAATGATATATGATATTTAATGAAATAAGATACCACAAAGGACAACCCACGTTGTGTTCTCATATCACAATAGTTGTATTTAGCACATGTCGGTTAGAATTTCCTAAAAGTGAGAGCTCACAATTCTTAGGGTTTCTATTTTGGATATTATTATAATACATGATAATCATCTTGCAACCAACTCCCAAGTTAGTCTTGGATCACTTTATTATTGTGCACTTTTGCACCTTTTTAGGCTATTCAAGTGTAATCATACTTAAGTTAATCTCCTAGATTTAAAATCTTAGCTCAAGTATTTTGTGAACTTTAACCCAACTACTACTTAAGTATTGTCATGGTGACTTTGGTTCTTGTCTAATTTTTCCTTTTGTCATTATTGGGGCTCTATTAGGGATAGTAACTCCTTTATTTTAAAATTGTTTTACTTTCTTTTACTTTCAAATATCTATGTCCTCATTTATTTGTTGATGTCTTTAACATTTCAACTTTTTTGAAATGGTGTTTTCTTGTAGATTTTAGAATTGTATGGTTCAATGAATATGAATTAGTATTAAATATCATTAAATCACACACACATACATACACACACATATATATCCTTTTTAAAATTAAAAAAACTACTAGACAAGTATTGGAGATACTAACTGGACACAATAAGTCTCTCGATAACAAGTCTTAGATAGAATAAAGATGAATTAAATAAATTTATTCATAATTATTTATTTATTTATATATTTTTTCTTTATCTTTTTCTTTTGAAGAAATGTGATTATGTCATATTATTTTCTAATTGATTTTTAATGTTCAATAATAATTTCATCTACATTTTTGAAAAAAAATATGATTTACGACACAAATTTGTCTCCAGTCCTTTGGATCAGTTTCACAATCCAAAACAAAAATATAAAAAATTGTAATTCTACTGTAATATAATTTAGTTCAAAAATACAAAAGAACAACAAATAGAACACATAATGGAAAAAATCAAAATTTATAAAGGCTGGTAGGTCTGGAAAAACCTAAAATACGTACATGTGATTGTGATTAATTAACATATACTCTTGCCTTTAAACAAATCCAACGAAAAAGCTTATAGTTTATTAAATACAACCAAATATTGTGCATGAAAGAGATTATTAAATTTATTAATCAAACACAACCAGAATTCTCTCATTTGATTCTGATTTTTTTTAGAAGCTTAATAATTATTGGATGACGCATCACAGGGGGTTGGGACCGTGCGGACCCCGCCAATGCTATAACTCTACACAACCCGCCGGCCCCTCCCCCCAAATAATAAACAAGAAGGCACTGGTCAGTTGAGTAAAGTTTTTTCGCAAATGTTTTCTGGGTAAGAGCTAGGGGTTGGTGGGTTTGTTTCTATGTTCAACTAGGGGCAGGTACCTACTCTAACCTAGCCTGATGAACCTAGCTGAGCGGGAAATTGGCAGTGGTGTGAAGAGCATAGCCTACATTAGCATATTAATATTGAAAACGAGTTACGTAAATATTGATAAGTATACATCTGCTCAAAAAAAACATACAGACTAACTAACTAGCTAATTGACCCCGCAAACGGAAATATGAATACGAAAGGAAAAAAACTCACAAAGGTAACATCTCATGTTCCATTACGAACATAATCTTGCTTATACAAATCGGCATTTTGGCGAAGTAAAAGTCCACTTGTGGAAAGGTACAGGAGAAAGGCTATGACACAGTGTTGTGGGCATGAAAGATTTTCTGCATTTCTCTATTTTAAGAGCTAAATCCTATCCTCCTCAACTGGACGCATGTAAAACTCGTTGGCAAGAGCTTTCAGAAAGAAATACTTGCTCGCAGCATTCCTCGAATATTGCACTACGAATTTCTGACCAACGTTAGAAGAATAAATCACAAATTTTCGAGGAGAAACCACACGACGAGCAGTATAGAGTCATTCGCCGAATCGGAAAATTACAGAAGAGGAGAAGATCTTAACCTCATAGGCTCTCTTGAGTAGATGACACGGCGTATGGTAGTGATCGAGTTGAATCGCTGAATACCATGGAGCAGTGATCGAGTCGAATCAAGTCTTAATCTTGGACTCGAAACCTGAGCACGTAAGGCTTGTTGCGAGCCCCAACGAAGGCCCTCATCGTGAGTAGGCAACGGCAGCAAATAGTTAACTACTGCGTTTCCAGACAAAGGTCAAAACTGGATATTTGATTTTCAGTTCCAGTTTCTTGAAGAAAATATTGAAGGTGAAAAAGCGTCCAGCAATTATTTTTATCTAGTCCCCCAAAATTCCTTAGTCCCAGTATTTGATGAGGCCATCCCAGCCGCAAGTAGCCACCTTAGACTGCTCTAAGGGATGCCACTCAACCCCAATACACACACTGTCGTGGCACTTAAGAGTGCGAAACACTTTACAGGTTTTCCAGTCCCAAAACCAGCAGCGACCCTCACCATCCCCTGACATTATAAACCGCCCGTCTGGTGAAAAATTCACTTGGCATGCATATCCAGCTGCGATGTGCCCAGCAAAACGCTTCTTCTTGTTTAGGCGGAACCGCTCCCGGGTACTGTAAATAAGAATCTGATTATCTAAACTCTGAGCTGCGAACCAGTTCGTATTTGGGTGAACAGTAATAGCGGGCATTGAATGCATATGAGGCTCGCTAATATATTTGATCACCACTGGTATACCAAACTCCCACACACGCAACGATTTATCATCGCTTGATGTTACAAATCTTCGATTGTTATCAACAAATGTAATTGTGTTGACTGCACCTAAGTGCTGATCATATTCTTGACTGATCTGCCCAGTGTTCATGTCCCACTGCACAATCTTCTTGTCACTCATCCCCGCAAGCAGAACATTTTGCTTATCATCGTCAGGATTGAACTTCACCACGTAAGGAATTTTTCCTGTACTGAACGTCGAAATAACTTGTCCAGTCTCTGTATCCCAAAGCTTGATCTTTCTATCATACGAAGCGGTCAGAAACTTCGACCCATCATTGTTAAAAGTAATATCCCTGACTGCTTTAGAATGACCCATGTACGTTCGCATGCACTTTCCACTACCATGAACGTCCCATATTTTAACCTTCGTGTCCATGCTGGCGGAAAGGAGAAGATGTCCATACTTAGGGAAAAACCTAATCGCAGAAACACCCTTGGTGTGCCCACTCCATGTGTGCACCCATCTCTTCGGAATGTAACAATGCTCATTGGTGGCCTTAACATCCTTCGGAGGAGCAATCCACGATCGTCCTTGGTAATCCACCTCCTCCTTGCCATGGAAGGTACTCTTATCATCGATATCCACCTTCTCTCCTTTCTCCTTCTGACTCTTTTTCTCGGCATGCAATTCTGCATACACTGTTTGCTCCTCGGTGAGCTCGCCCTGCAAACCTTCCTTCTGGCCAGCCCACGGCGATTGAGAATTTTTAAGTAGCCATTCTTCAGATGCAGGATTCTCAACCTTCTCTTTCTCCTCCTCGTCAAGCTCCTCGTCGTCACTCCTAGACCTCTTCTTATTCACCTTGCGCTGCTTCCTATGCTCGTGCTGCGGCAGGTTGTATACCGAGGCTCCATCAGTAGCTTTCACGGCACTGGAATCCCCGACTATGTTGTTTCCCGCTGTAGCTCCAGGGTCAGCCGCGAACCCATAAGCATGAAACGTGTTGTACTGCTCGTCGAACATAAACGGCGCTATGGCTGCATCCTCCACAAACCCTATTTTGTGGTTTCGCAACCCCTGCGCCACACCATCCTTCGCATATGGGTGCGCGGGACCTGCCACCGGCGCCCACAGCTGCTCAGCAGTGGGATTGTAGTTCACTTTCCGCTGCGATGGGTCCAACGGCTTCCGCACACCACCCCCACCGACAGAGCCTATGTCACCACGGGCGCCAATAACAAGCAAAGAATCGCTCACCTCCGGAGCGGCAGCAGTCCTGGGCTCTAGCAAACGGACTGGTGAAGAGTCGGGAGAAGAAGTGCCACTACTAGAGACCTCTCCCTCAGTCCGCATGTGCAAGTCCAGCTCGTCCGCTCTGTCTCCGTCTCCGTAATGCGCTAGGAGATCCATAGCGCTGGAGTTCCGAACCCTACCCGCCCCTACTGCCTCTTGCTTACCCAACAAGTCAATAAAAACACAAAACTAGATACTATTCGTGTCGAGGGAACAAGCACAAGCACATCGACTACAGAGGCAGCAATATTGCTAGAAAGGCAAAAGGTCCTGAACCCTAACGAGAGCCCCCGATGAGAAAGAACCGCAGTCTCCCGCCCACGACGAGGACGAAATGGATTGATTGGTTGGTCGGTCGGTTAACACATGCATTTGTGAATTAGAAAGATAGCTTATAATCGTCCTCCACGAACATTCCTGACGAATAGTTCCCAGTTCACACAGGGCATGAGAGCAGGGCATCCTCAACACACTTCACACCATGTAACACCTTCATAGAGATATGCATATATTAATAATCACACGACACACAAAATAAGGTGGAATTTTGAACAGCATACCACCATAAAAAATTCATAAGTAATTATCATATTTAAGTTAAAAAAATACTTTATTAAGAAACCATTTACATTATATATATATATATATATATATATATATGATCTTAAGCTTTAAAAATCACATTATTTTAGTGAATAGTAATATTTTATTGTAAAATTAATTTAAAGAATTATTATTTTATTTTAAAAAATTATTAAAAAATAATCCAAGTTAATATTTTTTTGATTTTATAAATTATTGTGATTCAATTGACATAAAACCAATGCTTAAAAATCTCTTTTCAGATTTTCTCTCAAATTCTATTCTTTGATCTACAAAAGAACTCCAAAGTCCCCATAGGTGTGTGGTTTGTGCCTCATGATTTGATTTCCATTCTAGTTGACAATTGATCTTCTTTGGGTATCAATTCTTAGCTTATTGAGGTAAATTTTGCTAAAATCTACTCTTAACTCATTTCTATATATGTCTATATTATTTCTTATGTTTTTTTATCTTTGATTTGGCTCATTTATGCCTCTACAAAGTAAATACAAGTCATTTGTATAAAAATATACTATTAAGACTAAATCTTTTATTACCTTTCTATTATTTATTCTTATTTTTTTATTCCATCTTTTTGCAAGGTTTTTCTATAATAACATCCTTATTTTTATTTTTTTATTATATAATTGTATTACCATACAACATCATTGTCAAATTCACCACCATTAAGACCATTGTGGCAATTGGGGCATCAATGGACTTGAAAATGTATCAAATGGATATAAAGACGATCTTTTTGAATGTAGAATTACAAGAAGATGTACATGAACTATGATTCTATTTACATGTACATGATTCCATCTACATGAACCAACTTCAAGGATTTCTAGAATTAGGCAAAGAATACCTCATGTGCAAATTGAAGAAATCCTTGTATGGATTGAAACAATCACTAAGAGCATGGTATCAACATATTGATATATTTTTTGTCAAAAAGAAATTTGTAAAGAGTAAAGCTAATCATTCACTATATGTGATGGAATCTTAAGAATTCTTGTTGGTTGTAATCCTCTAAGTTGATGATTTGATCATCTTGGCTAATAATATGAAAAAGATGGATTGGATGAAAGAAATATTATAAAAAGAATATGAGATGAGTGATTTGGAAGAGCTATTCTATATTAAGTAGCAATAGACTCATTTATGTATGCAATAGTAGTCACAAAAGTTGATCTTGTATTTAGTACGAGTGTTGTAAACCAACACATTTTTAAGGCAAAATCTTTGCTTGGACAACAATAAAAAAATAATAATAATAATAATAATTAAAAAATACAAAGAACTTTAAATTGTATATAAGTAATAAAAATGTTAATTTATAAAGATATTGTAATGCGGATTCGACTAGAGATGCAAATGATAGAAGATCCACAATAGAATATGTGTTCTTTAATGGAGTGGGAGCCATTTCATGGAATTACAAGAGACAACCTCTCATTGTAAGATCAACCATGGACTTCACTTTTTTTGTAAACCTTGCAATTAATAGTTGTTTCTTGCAATCCCATGAAGTAGATTATAGTTGATCAAAGAATACATATTCTATTATTGATCTTCTATTATTTGTATCTATAAACCAATATATATCATAATAACCATGCAAAGTAATATAATCAACTTTTAGATACAACTTGAAGTGCAATGCATCTTTTAAATACCTCATAATATTTTTCATGGTATTTTAATGGATTGATCTAGGCTTAACATATATCAGCTTAAAACACTAAATACATATGCAAGATTCATTTTTATACCAATCATTATATATATAATTAAGTTCACTATTTTTTTATATAGAATACCTTATATTTGATAATAAATTCATTATTTGTGAACTTCATTAACTTCAAATTGGCCTTCAAAGGTGTTCTAATAGGCTTACACTATTCTATGTTGAATCATTTTAATACCTATTGAAGAAATACAACAATCAAGATACAAGTAAGTAGAAATTAGTAATATTATTCAGCAAAAAAGTGTAGACTAAGATGACTCATATCAAAATATCATGGAGATATATCTACTATAATTATTACCTAAGTAATATGAATAGATAGAATTCAATAAAAGTAAATTAATTTCATAACACTTTCTAAAAAAGCTTCTTAGAAGCTTTGTAGAAATTGTTTTGACTTTACATGTATTTATAATTAATTGATAGGTTAGAAACTTGATCAAAAAACCACTTATATATCACATGTATTGATAGCTTGCGAAATAAGCTAACTATGTGGCATCCATATAGAAAATTTGCCTTGCAAGTCAAGATATGTATTATATAAAGTCAACACGTTTTTGGAGGTCCTATAGAATATTACTACATAGATCCTAGATAGATAATATATATATAAAGGCAAGAATGAAGCCTTCTTCACTCTTGTCAACTCCTTTCTTATTTTAGTCTAATTTCAAGAGTCTCTAATTTCTTTGACTTTTGATAATAACCATTCTAGTTTCCTTTTAATATACATATTTTTTCATTTTAATTTTTGTCACTTTATTTTCATACAAATTTCTCAAATTTATGCATCTTCTTTTACTTCATGTCCTTGATAGATTAACAATAGTATACTCACAATATTAGAGCTTTGTCTTCTTTTGATTAAGAGTGGATTATCATTTTTTTTGTAATGAGAGATAAACATATTAGAAGTTGCAAAATATCCTCTTTTAAACTAATATTATTTTTTATTTTCAAGTCTTCTTTTCTACTTATCTTAAGAAAAATTAGATATATATATATATATATATATATATTTTAAGTATTATCATAGTAAAGATTCTTGAAATAAAGAGTGCAATGGCACAAATGAAAAATTGAGAGAATTGATGCTTGCAATACATCAATTTAGTTTATTGCTACCAAAAACAATAAAATTGGTAAAAAGTGAAGATATAGATATGATTTTGAGCTACTTTAACATCTACGTTGAATCATATCTTTTTTTCTATGGTAGAATATCCTTTCAATATTAGAAAATCCAAAGTTGCTTTATTTGAGAAGTTTGATGGTACTAGATCTAAGTTTTGAAGATTTAACAACCAAGTGTAATTTGTGATTGAACTTCAACCTCAAAGCTATCCAATCATAAGATCACAAGTTAAATTCATTAGTAAACTTCTTTCAAATTTGGTATTATCATGGTTTTCATCTTTTATTAAATGACAAGATCCAATATTGGATAATCTGAAGGTTTTTTTGATGGAGTTTCAATTTATGTATGGAAAACATGATGCAATTCATGTTGCAACTAATAAGATTCATATCTTGTAATAAGACAATTAATCACTAATATTATATGCTTTTTTAATTTTGACAACTAGTGAATGATATCAAGTGGGATGATGTTGCCTTTATCAGCCAATTTTTCTATAGATTATAATATGAGGTAAAAAAATTGATGCTCAACTTATCTGATCTTCAAACATTGAATCAAATAATTAACTTTGTTGTGAAGTGTGACAATTGATTTTTTGAGTTTCAAATTAAAAATTATGTAAGACAACCTCTATGTTATTAAAATTTAATAACAAAACTAAAGGCTTTTTAATTTTAATATTTAGAACTAAAAGACATGCAAATTGATATGGTATATTTTAAACCTCTTTTTGAATAAGAAAATACTCAATATCTTAAAAATTCACTATGTTTATATTATAGAGAAGCTAAGTACACCATTCAATATTATCCAAAAAAATAATACAACTACAAAATGAGAAGTACAACTATCAAAGATGAAAAAAATTTGAAAAACAAATTTATTCAACTATAATAAAGATCATGTGGCTAAAATTTTATACAAATAAAGGTCCTATTTCTTCTCAGAATCTTCTTTTCTTTTTTTATAATGGATGTGTATTTATGACTTAATAATTACAAAGCCTTTATTTCAATAGATTTAAGAGCCTTAGCTTAATTTTATATGAAGAATTTGTTAAAAGCCATAGAATATTATTAGTACAAAAAACTAAATTGGTATATATAGAAGTCATAGATAGCCATCTGTTATCTTTTGGAGATATTACTTATAAAACACTTCTTACAGATGTAGCAATAAATGGTCATAATAATTGCATAATTTTTAATATAATTAGGTTTCTCTCTAATTTGGTCATTTTAGATTTATTATGGCTAGAAAAGTTTTCTTACATGCTGCAAAAGATGGATCACTTTTTGTTATTTATGCCACACCCATTTTTAATAATGAAAAGACTTTAAGTAGCATTCCAAATAAATATTAAGTTTTTATAGATGTTTTTAAGAAAAAAAATATAAATATCATCTTGAAGTATTGCCTATATGATTGCTTGATCAACCTTAAAGAGGGAAGTTAGTCACTATTTGATCTAATCTATAGTTTATCACAAAATAAATTGATTGAATTCAAGAAGTATATTGACAAGAACTTTGCTAAGAATTTCATATGCCATTCATGAAAAAAAGAGATAAATGAAAGACTGCATTTTGAACAAGGTATGAATACTTTAAATATAATATCATACTTTTTGGACTATTAAATGTACCACTTATATTTCAACATATTATGAATGATATTTTTTGTGAGTTTCTAATTGATTTTATTATCTATTATTTTGATGATATTTTAATTTATTTTAAGAATATAAAAAAATATGAAGTTTATGATATTCTTTTAAAAAATGGCGTCATTATCTAGAAGATGCTTCCAATCCAATCACCATATATACGGATCATACGATCCTTGAGTATTTCATGTCAATA